CAGGGTGATATGGCTTCTGGCATAAATATCAATAGCAGATCAAGGCTTCAGGCCCTTATCAAAGCTTGCCAAGGAAATCGACACTGAATTTTAGTTTTCCCAGAGGTTGATCACACCTCTCTGTGTTTGCACTGCCGATTTCACTGTTTGAATTTGTTACTCTGCCCTTCCATGGTATGCTGCACAGTGCAGTGAACCGTTGTAAGGCAGCCCTGAAAGCATTTAGTGCTTCTCACAGCAAACAGATGCTCAAGCCAACTTGAGAGAGTCTCTAGAAATGGGTTTTGAGATAGAAGGCTGCCTTAATTTTCTAATTGTTTTTTTTTGCTTTGCTTCTTGATCCCTCAGCTGTGGCACTGTACAGCTACAGCTCCAGTAAGGAGGACGAGCTGACATTTCAGGAAGGGGACATCATCTACATCATCCAGAAGGGCACAGATGGCTGGTACACAGGCTTTTTCAATGGAGTGGAAGGCTACTTCCCAGGGAACTACGTGGGCCCAGCTAGTTAACAGACCAGGACCAGCCAGTCCCAGTCTGTAACTCACTCTGTACACCTGGGTTCTCTCAAAGCACATTTCATCTGCTTTGAATTCTATACTGTGAATTGTGAAGTCTCCAAAGGGGGTGGTTTTAATTTTAAATCTGGAGAGGAGTGTGAAATAGGGGACAGCGACTGAGACAGAGTCTCTCTAAGACGCGACAGTCAGAAAGGTGCCCTTCAGCTGCAGGCTTTTTTAATTTGACGATTGCAACAGGCAGACGGTTGTCCACCTGTTCCACAAAGCTGGTGCGCCATACTCAACGGCAGAATTAAAAGACTTTTGGAAAGGCCAATCAGGGCACAGAGATGCCATGCCTACCCAGCTGCCCTTGTTCTCAACTTACGGCCTCTGTAGTATTATTCTGAAAACCTCCTAGTCATGATCATGTCAAGCGCTAGGACAGGAGGTGTACTGGAAATGTATCGTACCTGGAAAAGGCAGCTTGCAGTCTGTGGCACCTGTGACTGTTTGCATTCAGGGCTAATATCTGCCGTAACCTACTAGCATTAAGGTTTTAGTTCTAATCTCAGCTGCTTAGGGTGGTGGTAGCTTGTTAAAATTGTATGTTCCTAGAATTAAATGTTGTTTTAAAATAATTTTGACACAGTAATATACTGAATGTGAATGC